CTTCAAAGAAAAAGCCATTTTACGTGAATATGATGAGAGATTGGAAAATGCTGGATATATACACAAGTTTTGGATGCTGGAAGACGAAGAAAACAGTGTTGTTTGCCTAAATAATTCTTGCTCAAAATTCGAATCAAGGGCTCAAATGAGGCCATGGGTTGCATGATCCATGGACTCACGTGAGCCTCGCTAATTTTAAGACACCATATCTTTTGAGTCATTAGAGAATGCCTCCCAATGCGCCTTAGTTTCATCAAAGAAGCTCGACATCTTGCTCCTAAGGACTTGACTTGAACCACAGCCTCATCACAGGTAGTTTTATCAAAGGGAACTCGACTTCTTGCTCATAAGGCCTTGCTTTGGACAATAGCCTCATCACAAGCTTCTGTCTTATTAGTAGGGCTTGACATCTTGTTCTTAAAGCCTCGCTTTGTATAGCCTCAACACAGGCTTGAGTTTCATCAGAGGGGATCGACACTTGGATCCAGGGGCTTCACTTCTTATTGTCCAGCTTAATCAAGGATTTCATCCCCATTGGAGAGGTCTTCCACTGTACTTCCACTTAAAAGTCCATGCATTATATGAATAATCAGACGTGGACTTCGGGGACTAATGTTTGCCGTGTGAAACTAGGGCCCACACGTGGCCCCCATTACGTTACGTGGCAAGTAGTTCGAGGACCCGACATTCAGTACACTTACTTGGACAACCCTCTTTAAGAAATTTGAACGACCCTATTATGCATGAACCCCATGGCAAGAGCTAATCCATAGAGAGGCATTAGAAAATCTTGAACAGATCTTGTTCCACACAGATGACAACACAATTTATTGTCACCGTAACAAACCTATTTGGTCAAGTCCAAACCACAGGTTAGGTCGTATGATTACCAAAGCAATACTAGCATTTAAGGCTACGACTTATTGAAGCCTATGATTGGAAAGGTCAATTATGTGGATGGAGCCACGTATATCATCTTCTAAAGGTCTCCTTTCACCCTACCCAAGTATAAAAGCTCACACTTTGTGCCATTCAAAGGTAATGCAATTTTGGACTCTCAAAGCTATATTTTTGCCATACATTTATTTATTTCATTCATCTCCCAAAGCCGATCCCCCATTCTTTTTATTGGAGGTTCACGTTTTAAGCTCTCCCATAACCATAATTATTTCTCGAATTCACTTAACCGTCGGAGAGCGCGTAGCCAACTCCACCCCTTCCGGAGAAGGCCACGTGTGCCTAACAGTTTGTTAAAGTGTGCAGGAATCCAGCTTGTGTTGACATGAGAGGCCTTGAGCTCTGTTGGCCACCTCATTGGAACATTTTTTGGGGTCAACAAGCTTATCTCAATAGAAATTAAATATAATCCTATATGTGACCTTTCTATA